GAGAGAGAGTATGGGAGATCAAAATTAAGATAAATTGCATTACGCTTGAATTACATCACAATTAGACATTAGAGAATTTAACAAGAATTGCAACCACAGGGATGTCAATAGTAATAGTTGTAATGACCATAATAATAATGTTGAGGTGAGTTAAGATAATGCTACTGATAAAGGATAGTTTTAAATGAATCAAGAATAATAATAATAATAAGAGGTAGAATAATAAGTAAAACGTATTACCATGGTAGATTCAGAGTGACGACCATCTCCTTTTGTATGTAGAGTATTCAGCTGACGAGTTCTACCGAAATTTGATGAATTCATTAAATCCTCCTTTATTAACCTTTATTGCTTTTTTTACATTCAAACAACATATTTGAATTTTCAGTCGGACTATCCGGTAAGAATGAAAGTTTTAGTAGCTTTAAATCTCGTTAACAGAGGTAAAAACATCATAACAGATAGTGATGATATGAAGAATAAGATCTCCAATATAAAACAAATTCGGATTGGAAATGGTTATCCTGAAAAGCTACTAGATAATATTATCAATAAAAAGGAGCATAAGGGAAAACAAGAAAAAATTGGAAAATCTTCGCTATCAACGTTAACCATTCCATATTGAAAGGAGACATTTGAACAACTTCAAAGACTATTTGCTTCATATAATATTAAATTCTATTTCAAGCCCTCTAATTCTCCGGATAGAGAAAGCTTTGGTGAGTGTAAAATATATGGTTCCCAAAATGTCACAAAGTACTTATGTCTATAGGATAAAATGTTCAGAATGTGAAGCTTGCTCGCTATGTAGGGGAGAGCAGTAGACAGGTGAAGGAAGGTCAGAGTGAATCAACACAGGCTGTTAACGAAACATCCACCTATAAATGAAGTACAATGAAAAAGTCTGGAAAAAAGATCGGCTGCAGCAATGGATGCTGTAGACAGCGGACATAAGATTGATTTCGACAATGTCGAAATTCAAGGAAGAGACTTTCATTCGCCATATAAAGAAAGGTTGACCTCTAAAGCCTTGGATATTTTAACTTCATCGAATGCAATGAATAGGAGAGAAGGCATAGACTTATCACCACCTATATGACAGAATTTAATGAAGCAAAACAGATGAGAGGAACAAAAAATTCAATCTTATATTATGACCACTGTAAAATATTATCACATGTTTTGACATGTTTCTCATACAAGAAACAACATGCCCACACACACACACACACACACACACACACACACTCAGAGACTCAAACAGACAAACATGAAAATTTGAAATTAGTCATTACAAATATATGTGTGATGACTATTTACACATATTTCTTTTGGTACAAATACCTACCAACAAGTAACCATCAAAGAATCTGAACTTCAATTTATGTAATTTTTCTGACTAGATATTTTGATAGTTTATAAAAGCCCGGATAATTTTGCTGCTGAAGAAGCTGTAGCTTACACGGCGAAATGTTCAGAAAACAGATCTCGTTTTGATTTTGTTTCTCTTAAACACGCTCGCTGGGATTATTTTAAGTAATTTATAAAATTAGAGTGGTTTGAACTGGTTCAACTCTTTGAGTTTACAGGATGTCATTATGAGTTGACATCAGTTAGAAGGCCAGTCATTGGAAAACTAGGTAGGGAGTACTGGGCAGCTGTTTCGTCAGCCTAGTTTGGGACTCTTCAACAGGACACACCTACACTGGAATTATAGCACAGGACCATCCGGTGACAAGCGAGCTCGCACACCATTAAGTTACAGGGATTTTCGCGAGCTTATCGTCGAATAAGGGAATCGATCGATCGGTGTGAGGAACAATCAAATTGTGTGGTGGAAATATTTTCCAAAGATTGTAACACTTTATCGTCATTGTATAAAACTGCATACTACTCATCTAAAAACACTGGACGTCTGTTTCATTCGTTTGTTGTCAAGCTGATCAGTGATGTACATCGCTCCGAATTGGTCTCGGATGGTTTGAAGTGATTCGCCTATCTATGCTAAGTCAAGCTGGATATGCTGTTAATAAACTCGGCTCCAAACGAGAGAAACGGTAGTCTAGTGTTTAGATGTTGAATCTCGTAGGCAAGCCGTACACTACTTAAGACAAATGGGATGTAACTACTCATACCAGCCAATCAGTAGTATATTCCATCATGCTATGTATGCGTTAGGTTTTTATCATTATTATTCCCCAGGGTTCCAAGTGGAACATAGGGCTTCAGCAACACATCTCCACTTCTATTTTCTGCTGTCCTCTTCACCTGGGGGTTCACGATTATCCATAATCTCTCATCTCCTCTTGACCACACGATCTCCTTCATGTCACCCTCACTCCGACGAAACACTCTTCACTTCCCATTCGGATTCCAGTCGAGTGATGGCTTGCATTGCGCGCGATGTCATTCGACGACCTCCTCAACGTATGCCCGATCCATCCATCTCCATTTTCTCATACATATTTATCGAGCAGTCAGCTCTTGGTTGGTTTTTTCTCAACCATTGTTTCTTGTTGCTAATTCTTTCTGGCCAGCCAGCAGACCATTTAATCTTCGGTATGGAGTCAACGAAGGCAGCTGTTGATATAAGTCTGCAATGGTCTGTTGGAACTGCTGCTTTTCAGCATGTAAAGGCCAAGTTTCTAACTGACTTCACATTTGTGTTGAAAATCCGAATCTTGTTCTTTGTGATACTGAGACGGCGTGCCCAAGATTTTCAAAACTGATGAAGTTGTATATCTTTTCTTTCTGACTCTGATTGATTTCGACATTCTCATTGATGGTGCCGACTGCCTGTAGTTGAAATGTTGTTGGTTGCCTAGATAAGTGCAGGGAATGACTTCTTCTTACAAATTTCTCCCATTCATAATGATTAATTATTCTCATCACAATTTTAGAGTTGCACAACAGTGGGGTTAGACAGGGTTGCCCAATCTCTCCATTTCTCTTTAACTTTGCCATCGATGACATTCTGGAGTCAGCTCTGAAGGATGTGCGTGAAGGTGGTGTAGATCTGCTACCTGGAGATAGACTTTTCGACCTCGAGTATGCAGACGATATCGTCTTGCTGTGCGATAGCATGCAGGCTGCCCAAATCGCACTTAATCAGTTGGCGAACAGTGTCTGTAAGTATGGTATGTGTTTTGCACCGTCTAAGTGCAAAGTACTGTTACAAGATTGGCAGGAGCCTGTACCTGCACTCACTCTTGCGGGTGAACCGCTTGAAGTTGTTGATAAGTTTGTGTATCTCTGGGTAGTTGTGTGAGTGCTGGTGGAGGGGTGACGGATGAGATTTCCAACCGTATAATGAAGGCTAGGGTGGCATACATCAACTTGTGCCACCTCTGGCGCCGTCGCGATGTTAGCCTGGCTGTCAAAGGTCGGGTATACAATGCTTCGGTGCGGGCTGTCTTGCTCTACGCCTGTGAAACCTGGCCTCTCCGAGCTGAGGATGTGCGGCGACTCTGTGTGTTCGATCATCGCTGTCTCCGCAGGATTGCTTGCGTTCGATGGCATCATCGCGTGAGTAATTCTGAGGTTCGGCGGCGTGTGTTTGAACACAGTGGTGGAGATCACCATTCATTGAGTGTCGTCATCTGGAAACACCGGCTCCGGTGGCTTGGACATGTGCTGCGAATGTCATCCCAGAGGCTTCTGTACAGGTCTCTGTTCGTTAGCCAACCCTGGGACGGGATGGAAAAGGCGAAGAGGTAGTGGTCAGTCCATGACTTGGCGTCGTGGGATGAAAGATATTTGTGCTAGATTAGCATCGGTTGATGAAGTTTTTTATCCGTTCTCTACACTTATATTTTTTCTTTTAATCTATGTTGTTTTATTAATTATTATTGTGTGGCGCATCTTTCTTGGTGTCATATTGTACCAAGTTTTTTCTGCGTTTAAATAAATAAAATAAATAAATTTATGGTTACACAAAAAGAAAAAAAATGTGATATATATATATGACATGAAATATATGATACTTTGATCGAGAATAGCTATCCCAAAAAATTTATCAAGAAACACGTGACAAAGAAAGCGGAGAAAGACTACTCACTATCCATAAAAAGAAGCCTTTATATAAACGAAGCTCCAACCTGAAGCAAGTCACTAGCGAGCATCAGAATTTTCTAAAGTTTGGTTTGTAAGGATTAGTTATGTTTTACTTTAGAAAATTATTCTGATGCTCGCTAGTGACTTGCTTCAGGTTGGAGCTTCCTGGAGTTCTAGTGCAAAGTCATGACCAGTGAGGTCCAATTAGAAGTCACGTGTGTGGATGGATGTCCCACCAACGACAATAGTTGGGGTCGCGCTGAAATCACGAATTGGTAGAAGTTAGAATTCATGGGCTGGCCATTAAGGAGTCGGGTCCCAGTGGCTGAATGGTATACGAGCTTGCCTTGTAACCGGAAGGTCCTGGGTTCGAATCCCAGTGGGTGCGTACTGCCGATGATTCCCAAACTAGGATGAAACAGCAGTTGTCCAGTACTCCCTGGTTTTCAATGGTTCTCTAACTGATATCAGTCCGTGACCAACTCGTAAAAGCCTAATAAATTGCCAAAATCATCGAAGCACCGCATGCTGCAAACAGCAGAGGCTATCGCGATTCGTTTGAAACAACCAGTGCTTTGTGTGCAAAAGAAGCAAGTCCAGCTAGTCACTAGTACTGCCCTTGACTGGTCTTCACTAGAGACTATAAATTCATGAATTTGTATTATTATCTTCCCTAATTTTCCTGATGTTCAGTGTGTAGTGTTATGTTGATGCTATTGAACTGTAATCTACTGATATTATTATTATTATTATTATTATTGATTCGATGTTATTTAAACAACATTATTGTTGTTCATAACACTAATTCATTCATTCACTATAATGGATGGATATATAACTGTAGAACCTGATGAAGAGGAGCAGGTAATTGAAAAGAGTATTCTTTGAAGAAAATTTTTCAAATAAATTCTAATTATCATCATTATTATTATTTTTTTTCTTTTCAGCATTCACAGCCCTACATCTTTATTGCCTAAAATCTTTATATTACCACCAAGTGATCAGTTGACATTCTATCGTCTACTCACGGATGGTTTATACAAACGTGGCCTATTGCCGGATCAGTTGATGAATGCAGTGAATGACTTGCTTCCTCCTCCACCTCCTCAGTCAACAGGGAATTCTCGAACTATTGGTGTCGTCACATCAGCGGAATCAACTGGAACCACTGGAACAACATAGAGAGACACAAAAATAGCGATGAGTGAATAGTCTTCAGTTATTAATTTTTGAGATTATATCTCACTACCGCGACGACCACCATCATTATCAACATCATCATCGTCATTATCATCTCCACCGTCGTCATTGGCGCTTCTTAATTCTAGATGTGTTGTATGATCGAGTTATAATAATTCAAAATACAAAGCTACTACTACTCTATCAATCCTACTAATAACTAATACTAATACTGGCATTTCTTTGTAGAACACACACTCGCGAATACCTACACCCCTCCTCCACTGATTATTGACTCATGTCCACACCCACACTCACACGCCCTGAACTATATTCATCATCAGCCATGCGCGTATACACAATCATCGTATTATATATTGTCATAGTTATATACAAACAAACATAAAATCGATATTTTAGAAGTACACACAGGCATTTGTGTTGTTGTTTTTATTGTTATTATTATTATTGTTGTGTCTTCTCCTCCTGCTTCTTAACCTTTACTTACAAACAAACAAACGTCTCCTCTCTGGTGATGTTTTAGTTTTCTTCAATGAATTGTCTACCTCTTCGTGTGTGTGTGTATGACTGTGTGTCTGTTCATCGTTCTGCTTCTCATTTGGTTTGTGTGAATGTATGTCTGTCTCTGTGCTATTTGCTATTCCCCCCCCTTACCCCATACTCATTCATTCCTTTGATCGATTCTGTGTGGAACAATACTGTGCTCCAATGCTTTTGAGCCTTTTTACTGTCGGTGAAGAATGATTGAACCGCAGATCACGTGTGTCTCTATGTTTGTGTGTGTGTGTGTGCACGAGTGTGTTTGGTTGTCTACACCCTAGTGAACAACCACTAGACACATCATTTGCTTTTATCTTCTTGTTTTTTTTAACAATTCATGTGTATACTACTCATTATCATCACTATCAGTAAGCTAAATGCTGCATTGATTGATTGATTGTTATTTGTCTGTATAGCTGTGTGTGGCTGCTGTTGTCGTTGTTGCTGTTGTTGTGTTTTCCACAAAAACGCGTCATTTTTCGCTTTTTATTTGTAACGAGATGAAGTGCAGAAAAAAATGACCACAATAGAGCTGCTATATATAATAATAATATCGCTGTTATATAAAGAGGAATAACCATTATAACAATACTACTGTTATTATTATTATTGTTTCTTATTCTTGTCACACTATGGTGTAATAATCATCATTTCAGTGAGTGAGTGAGTGAGACATTCTTCTATTTATTATACTGTGATTATTGTTGTTATATTACTATTATTATTTATTTATTTCTTCATTCGTGCATTCAGTAATTTGAAAAGAGAGTTACAAAAAAAGAGAAAGAATTCCGATGCATTATTAATACACAGTGTTTCTTTTTTTATTCCTTCACGTTCCCAGTGGAACATATGGGGCACCTTGAAGATATAGAGGCTTGAAGTTTCGGTAGCATTGGTGGTGGTGGTATTTATTTTTACAGGATGGGGTTGCTAGCCAGCCTCATGCCCCCCCCAACCTTCCTTCTTTACCGGTCTTGTTACCAGGTAGCCTAGCGAGGTAAAGGAATGCGTTGGTGGCCGGGAATCGAACCCCGGACCCTGGGGTGGTGTTTACTTGCGAAGCTTTCATTGCTTTACTCTAGACAACATCTTCAGCCCATGCATACTTCAATTTGATTGAAGTCGTCTTTCTTGGTGGGTGACCCTTTTGTGTTTTTTGTGTGTTTTCACACCCTCTAGGCTACTTGTATTGGTAATGATTGTTTCCTTGACCTGAAATTTGACCCTTTGTGTATGAGATTTCCTTCTTATCGGTTGGTAAATTTTGTCTATCTCGATGTGTCTATTGATTGATGACTCACTGGAATACTAGACAGGCTTCTAAAAATTCCCTAGTATTCTTGTCGTTTCATCTGTCTAATATTTGAACTCTGGTTGTCCCAGTTGAATTGATGTCCGTGGTTGTCTGTATGTAGAGATATGAGTGACGGAGTGGATACCATGTCTTTAGACGGCTAGCTTATGTTCATGGATACGAAGACAAAGAGGACGTTCACTTTGACCAATGTAGTGTTCTTCGCAGTTGTTACAATTTATTTTGTAGATGATGTTGGTTTTATCTTCTTTCGTTGTTGAGTCTTTCGATTGACATAGAACTGAGTGAAGTGATTTTGTTGATGTTTGTGTGCAACAGCAATTCCTAAAGATTTTGAAGAGTCTTGCAGTGATTTCTGAGATTTTCTATGTGTATATGGTAAGATGATTTCTTTGTTTTTATTAGCGGCCTTTGATGTAGTTGGTTGGTCCGGGGGTAGATGTCTTTTGTTGAGGTTTCGTGAATATGCATTCTTTTGGAAGACGTCCATGAGATATTTTTCTTCAATTTTTCTTAAAAGTAGGAGTGCTGCAATGACTCCTGGTTCTCTTGACTAATGTTTGTACACAACTCTTTTTGTGTGTTGCTGTTGTAATTGAGTATTTGATCTGTTTGGATTGATTTTCTGTAAACTTGAGTGTCTAATTTTCCTGTGGTTGTTCGCTTGACCAAGACATCCAAAAATGGAATTTCGTCTTCGGGTTCCTCTTCTCTGGTGAATTTGATGTCGTTGAAGATATTGTTTATTAAGTTATGAGTTGTGTGTAAGCTGTTTCTTTTGATTATCACGAATGTATCATCCAAGTAACGTTTCCAAATTGTGGGGTTGTTCTTCGGTAGGATTATGTTTTCAAGTCTTTTCATCACAGTTTCTGCAATCAGACCTGATATGAGCGATCCTGTAGGTGTCCCTTTAATTTGTTCATATATGTGACCTTTCAATTTAAAATTCGCTGTTAGACACTGGGTTCGAACCTCGGTGGGGACATCACTCACTGGGGAATGCAGGTACATCCAGATGACGAGTCTCAAATAGGGCGAAATGCATTTTGTCCCGGATTCCATCCACTGCTAGCCACCATCCACCAATTAAATTCTAATTACATGCCCTGAGACCGGTCCAATCAATCGATGGGAAAATCTAAAATTCAGTTAAATAATTAATATGACCCGTTGCACAAGAGGCGGCTCTCGAAGCCCAAGTGGTCTAGTGGATAACACCTTGGCGTTTGAAACTATGGAGACTGGGTTGGAGCCTCAGTGGTGGGAACATCATCACTCATTGGGGAATGCAGGTGCATCCAGCTGACGATTAGTCCCAAATAGGACGAAATGCGCATTATTCTGGATTCCACTGCTAGTCACCATCCACCAATTAAGTTGTTAGACATAGGTTTATGCATTCCATTCAACTTGTGTGTTGTAATTTTGAGTATTGTGGAGAGGGGGGAGTGATCTTCTCTGTTGAGTAACTTCTCTATGGTTTCTTTTGCTAGTTTCTGTCCAGTTGAAGTATATAGTGCTTCTACACACACTAACTAGGATGGATGCTCCTACAGGTTGTATACCATATTGCATGGAGTAAGGTGTTTAGCCTAAAGGTGGTGAACAGTATCATAGGCTTTTGAAGACGAAGTCACACCGGTGGCGTAAATGGTTGTAGTAATGGGGCGTGTGCTACTGACAAGGTTTATCAGTAGTGTATGTAGACGCAGATTGATAGAAAGTAGCCAAAAATTGAAAACAACATTTGCAGTCAGAGGCTACAGAAGGAGAAGCGTGGATCTAGCTTACTGTGTGGTCAGGAAATAGTCTCATGGGTTAACCTTCAGAAAATCATCAACCAATCAGAGCAGTTTATTGTCCGCTGACCTAGCCGACCCTTAATGTGACTGGAATTGTATAAATATGGTGTGTTTTTCCTTAATAGAGAAGTCAGTTACAAAGTCTTTTATCTTCTCCCCGTTGCAGTAAAATCGGTGAGCCAGTTATGCTGAGTCTCCGCTCTGAGGAGGAGCGGGGTGTTAGAAAAGATCAAATCTAATAATTGTATATTTCTAATTGCTTTGTTGCATCCTGTAACCAGAGGTGTAAGGTCTTCTTACCAGCATATCTCTAAACAAACCATGTTTGAACAGCCTCAAATAATTGTTCTCTGGTTTCTTCGATCACATGACATTTAATATTCTCTATTTCACTTGATTGGTTCAGGTACTTTAGGAGGCAATCGATTTCATCAGTGTGAGCAACTAGGAGCTAATAAGTGCGCAGTACATATACTTCCTATTATGACAGGAACTACGACCTACTAGACTATGAGCGAATACCAAGTTTATGTGCTGGCTGATCTGTCCCTAATTGCGCGTCAACAACAATAATAATACAGGCACGCAAAGACAAAGGAAAAGACTGGACGTCGATGGGAGAACTTTTACTTTCTCAATCAACATAGAAAATCTAAAGAGAATGACCCTGAGATTGCGGTAATGTAGTGACGCCAATAGGAATCCAAACGGAGGAGAAAGCAAAAGAACCATGTCAGTGCGCGATAACTCCCTAAATCAGTTAACTTAAGGTTTTAGGCAAATCTAGGTGTATATATCACTTTCATAATCGCATGTAGCCTTCTTGACAATCTCCTAAGGTAGTTCCTTTTTCAGCATTTCCACTAGGAAGGACATCCATACCAGAAACCTGACTAGAATAAGCCATATATATGGCTGTTTGTGTTATGATCGCCACATTACGGATCATCATTAAACAAAGCCTGGAATGGCAGTCACCTCTCTGTCTCACCTTCATCGACTTCGAAAAGGCCTTCGACAGTGTCAATCGAGAGGTGATTTGGAAACTACTTAGCTACTACGGGGTGCCACCGACAATTATACATCTCATCCAACAGCTGTACGACAATGCTGCATGCCAAGTAATCCACAACGGGAAACTTCCGGATTCCTTCGAAGTAAAGACGGGAGAATGACAAGGCTGGCTGCCTACTATCGCCAATGATTTTCCTGATTGCAGGCGGTAGACTGGATAATGCGACAAACAGCGGGCAATGAGGAAACAGGCATAAAGTGGACTCACACAAAAACTTGGAGGATCTGAACTTCGCCGATGATATATGTCTGATTTCCCACAAACTGGAGGATATGCAAGTGAAAAGCAACAAGTTGGCAGAAGAAGTATCCAGAGAAGATAGGACTTCAGGTGAACATAGAGAAAACAGAGATGATGAAGATTCCTGGCCAACACCACCAACAGCAACAACAACAGACAACGATCAGCATAAATGGGAGGAACCTGAAAGAAACAACCTCTTTTACCTACCTGGGAAGCATCGTTTCAACTACAGGTGGACAGAACTGACGAGGATATCAAAGCAAGAATTGGAAAAGCAAGACAAGCTTTCAATACTCTCAAGCCTGTGTGGAGGTCAACAACACTCAGCATCAAAAATAAGATCCGGATTTTCAACTCCAATGTGAAGTCAGTCAGTGCTACTATACGGATCAGAGATTTGGCCAAAGCGTCATAAAGAGCATCTCAAACAAACCACAGACATTCATTAACAGTTGTCTTCGCTCAATATCACTCAAGATCAGATGGCCAGCCAGAAAAGATCAGCAACAGGGATCTTTGGGAGCAAACCAACTCAGCAGGAACTGATTGTGAAACAAAGAGGCAGGAAGAAATGGAGATGGATTGGCTGGCCATACTCTGAGGAAACCATCAAGTGACATCACTAGACAAGCCATTGCTCGAGTGGAACCCGAAAGGGAACCGGTGAGTTGGTCGTCAGTGCAAGGGTGACTTGGGGAATTCATGTGAAGAGGAGATGAAAGCGTGTGGGCAGACATGGAGCCAGGTGAAGACTATAGTACGGCTGAAGCCCTATGTTCCTCTAGGAATTAAAGGAAACAATAATAATAATATAATATTGAAATATAATTATACTTTATTTGATCTATTCCCCACAATGCTCAACCTTTTTACTGACGGTCTTCCAATTAAAAAATTGGCCAACAAACTCACACATTTATATCAAGCTGAATCTCGATTTATGAACCATCGAATTTTCAGTATCAGATGCCTAAAAAAATGGAATTATTCCTGTATCCAATATGAGATTAAAATCACCGATATCTACTGATAAAGCAAATGCAGCGCTCACACATGCCTCAAAGAAAACCTACTACATGGTATTATACGAAAGTTATTTACCATAAGGAAAGATGTTAATGAAGCAAAAGAGAAATTGAAAAGGAAAGGTATGAAAGCATACTAGAAGTTGCACAAAACGAAAAAAGTTTAATCAACTCATGATAGCAAAAACCCTGAGTGACAAACAAGTAACTAAAACCAATTGGATTGTAAACATGTTAGACAGAAAGCTAACAGAAGCACCAGAGGAAAGCGTATCGATCAAAGGGATCAACTTCAATATTATTATTAACAAAAAAATAAAACCTGAAGATA